GGGGACGTCTCTCTGTCAGTAATTGCTACTGATTGCAAATTCTGTTTATAAAATCAGAGGAACTTTATTAGTTGTGCATTCAGTTTTATTGGGGAGCTAGCTGTTCTGGCCCAAATTGTGGTTTAAACAGACAATAATTTGAATCTCAATAACGTGTGAAGAGATAAAGTCTGCTCTTGTTTTGGCCAAACTGTTAATAAAAGGGCAAAAAAGAAAGTAGACTTGGCCGAGTTCACTTATGAGTCCTTTTTGGGTAGTTAAAGATCAGAGAATGAGTTTTGCAGTAATAGAAAAAGCGGGACTGTGTTTTCTTCATCTTGTCGAGTGCCAAGATGAAAATGGCACGGTGGCTGTTTTTCATCACATCCAAGCTGTGCCTCATTTGAATCAGAGTCTTCTCTGAAAGCAATTTAAGCCCTTGGAGATATTAAAGAGTACATTTCTTGGTCTTTACAATTATGTTGTTACGTTGAAACCACTGGCGAGGTCCTGCGTGCTGCATATATCTGCTTTTAATAGGCTTCCCAGTGCAGGTTGAATAAGAAGACTCGAGCGCAAAAAAATAACTAAATTTCCGTCTTGAATTTACAACTTCAACAAAGCATTGTTGTGTAAATTTCCATGACCATAAAAAAGTGGATGAAAAGTGGTCTCGTCTTTATTTCTTGCTGTTCCCACACCGACCAGAGAGCCCAGTCTGGATTAAAGTCGTCTCCACAGGTCAAATCTGTGCAGTCAGCCCCACACCCCCACAGGAAAAAGCTCCATGACAAAGCACTCTGTTTAGGCATTTTTTATTAAGCTGTCATGATATCTGCATGCCTAAACACTGATCTCATTGTGTGCCACTCTTTTTGAGTGACCCACTCTGTGAAGTCCATGTAGGCAGAACTGGAAGAAAGTGGCTCGCACAAAGGCCTCTCTCATGGCCAACAGAGGATGGTAGACAATACAGAAGCCTTGAGCAGAGCAGAATTAAATCATCCTGAAACGAGTGGGAGCAGAGAGAAGGTGTGACGCAGAATGCTTACATCAACGTGTTAAATGTGGATATTATACACTAACTATTTACTTAAGGAGTGGGAGTGTTAGTCGGCATGTGGAAGATGTTACCTGGACCCTGAAAGCTGGATGAGCTGTCTGTCTCGTCTCAGGGAGAGCCGTCTGTTCATCTTCCTCCAGGGTGGGGCAAAGGACAGGCAGGGGCAGAGAGAAAGGCAGAGGGAAAACAGGGTACTTGAAAATGTGAACCACAATGCCTCAGGGTGACCTGGTGGGATAAAGGGCTGTTTCTTCCCTAAGAGGTCAAACGTTCAACCCCTCATTTATCAAATGCTTAACTACCTGCATGACACCTCTGACGTGTTTATGCCACGAAGGACTTTCGAGCTTTGACTTGCACAACAGCTCGGCACCAGGTGAGGTTGTAGTGCTTTGGCTCGGTTTCCTCTTTAACCAATCCCTTTAATGAATTTTGTGCAGTGCCAGACTCTTTGGCGTGCCACATATTTTTTTCCACCACTGTAAAAGTTCCTTTGAGGTAAAAAGAGTAGGGACAGGCAACCCTGGCTGACAGACACTGAAGACTTGATGTTCGTGGCCCACGTGTACGTCTTAGCCGACCAAGAGCAATAAAGCGAAGGAAGCTTGAACCCGGCTGCCAGTGCTGAGATGGCACAATGTATTTCCCCATGTGATTTTGCAGAGAAAGCAAGCGTGCTCAGTCTAGTCAGGTAATATATACAGTGACCCACCTGAGTCTATGTAGCTGCGTAAAATGATTAGGACAGTGCTGGCAGGTTAGATGTGTTTCCTCTGAATTTCTCTTGCCTGCTGGCACGACCGATTTCTTTCAAGTGCAGTCTGCAGTCATTTATATTTTCGAGCTTTAGACGTCGTTGGCTGCAGATGTGAAGGTTATGTCAGCACATGCCCTGCAGGAGATCTCTCAGATGCTCTTCGGTTGTGTCATATGCGGTTTTCTAGACATGGGTGAGGCCTTACTGTTATTTTGTGAGCCGCCCTCGTTCCAGATCTTAATTTGAGAGTTCCTCGCCTTGATGGGTAGGATGCTCAGGAGGCGGGTGGGGTGTTATAGAGGCGGCTATAATTCTTCTATTTTGATAGGTGAAACTGTAAACAATGCAACAAGATCTAAACATGTGTTTTGTAACCAAGCACTGAACTACAAACTGTGCAGAAAGGAAGGGAAGCTTGTTTTTTTGCATCGCTGTAGAGGTTTTGCTTGGACTGGAGCATGTGTTTCCCCTTCTCTATAGCTTGTCTGCAAGTGCTGATGAAAAGTGAGCCGCTGTCTGCAGAAACCATTATGTTGTGATTTTTTTTTTTCGCCGTTGGTTCACGCACAGCCGGTAAAGTCAGTCAAGTTCATCTGCTTGGCAAAGATAATTCTTTTGATGGAACAATCTGGGTATTTATGAGCAGCCCACGCTGTTTTCGTGGTATCCATAAATCTGGAACTCTTCATTAATTTGTGGTCGTGGCCGTTGCGCTTGACAAGTGCCTCCTCTCTTTGCTCTCAAGGTGCAGATTTCTGCTTGGCAGGCCCGCCCGGTGCTGTTACTTCCGTTCGCTTTCCAATTCAGCCAGACTGGATGAGTCGCAGGGCCTGAAATCATCATGCATTTCATTTATTGGACTTTTCTTTTCCATTACATTCTTTTCAACTGAATTTTTGCTTTTATTAAATCTCATTTGGTGAGGTTTGATATATGAGGTTTTAGTGGGACCACCCAGCTGGTCAGCTCTGCTCGCCTGCAGTGGGTTAGGTGTCTGAATGAGGATCAGGATCCCGGAGGTTGTGTGGGAGGCTGTGCGTGGCAGCTCATCCTCATCCTCCTGTGATATATTCAGCTCCTCTATATGGCCGCCAGATTGAAGAGCCGTGTCAACACGAGCGTCCCACTCAGCCAGGCGTGCGCTGGCCGCGCGTTGCGAGACGCCACCGCAAAGTTCCCTTGCCTGCCTTTTCTGCAGCTTTCTCCTCTCATGACAGTCTCCTAGGAAAAGAGAGTGAAGGAGAAAAACGGCGAGCGCAGCATCTGCAATTGTAGCAAGCGCACATTTCTGGATCGGGTTTCGTCTGCTTCAATGGAAAATTAAAGAGCTGTCAGGAGAGGTGCTGAGGATATGTGATTAGTTCTGCAGAAGTTTTTCCAACCGTCTCTTATTATGAAGGGAGAAAGCTGTGGGTGCTCAAACACATCCTCAGGGGTTAAGGTGGAGACAGATGAGTGATGTCTGGTGGTTTATCACCGCCATTGTTCATTCTGTCCCTTCCCTCAGATCTTTATATGTCTGCATTAGCAGTACTAACAGCATCTCAGCCCAAAAAGTACTGAATCTTCTATGTCTGATCTACTTCTGCCTTTGAATCCATCCCCAGAGCTCGGCTCACCCAGAGACTTGGTGACCAGCGACGTCACCGACACCAGTTTTGCCGTGTCTTGGACCGCGGCTCCGGGTAACGTTCGTCAGTACAGGGTCAAGTACAAGTCTCTGTTCACTACGGAGTCTGGGGAAGCAGTAATACCAGGAGGCAGCACCACCACAGTTTTGCAGGGTCTCACCCCAGAGACACGCTACGAGGTGTCTGTGTTTGCCGTCTACGGCCATGGAACGGGCCAGCCGTTGGTTGGAGAAGAAACCACAGATGGTAAGTTACTCTTCTTTTTTCTTGGTCTGTTTCGCTTTCTTTGTCCACACTTCATAGGCTTTCTGTAGGAAGTCTGACGGCTTCATCTCGGTCATGCCTAGAAAGTGTGAAGCTAAGTATGTGTGATGTCACCGTAAACACAAAGGGACCTTCAGATATTTTCCCCTCCACCTAAAACACAAACAAAGCCTTTGGGCTTCTTGCATCTGTTAAACTGCAAATACGGTTCAGGAGCATCATCGCTGAGCTTTCTGGGTCAGTGACGCAGGCTTAAAAGCGGTCCAGGAAAAAATAGTGTTGAAAGTGGTATTTTGTAAGCTGTAGAAAAAGGGAGCTGTCATCAGCGCTTACTGCTCAGTTCATTCTGTTGAGCTCAGAGATAACGTCATAGCTGATGGCATTCGCCCGAGCCGTAACGAATCTGGAGACTTCACACGCACGTCTTCGAGGCTGTGCATGTATGTTGTATATGTGTGCAGAGGTGATGTCATGTCCAGGACACCTGCACGCACTTTCATGGGAGAGCGGATAGGCCTCACTCGTGCTTGGATGAGAAAAGCACATTGAGCAGAAACTTGCACCAGTTGGGAGGATTTTAGTTCAAGTAAAAAAGATTTCAAGGAAAAAGATTTCCAACCTCTTTTATTGTTTATTGATTCTGACAAGCAGGACAGGAGGCATACCCACCAAATACAACCATTACGCTGCCCTCACGACAGGTGACCATGTGAAGCTAGACAGCTAGCGAACAAAATAGATGAGATCTTCCACACAAGGCTTGCTTTTCTTGCTTTTAATGAAGATCCTTTAAAGCCTTATCCTCTCTCAAGGCTTCTCCTTGCTATTTCTTATTTGTAACAGAAATATACAGAAAGTGAAAATAAATTGCTAGCTAATACACATCTTAATGACAAACTTAAAGATTAGCCTAGCTTAACACGTGCGTTACATTAGCATCGCAGTTAACTCCAGGTAAACACATATAAAAGTTATTTCTGAACATATTAATACTCACAAAGACGAACGTTTCCCAAGGTACAAGCGTGTAGGGCACTTTTAACGTGTACATGAACTCGTTCACTCTTTTAATACTGCCGAAGCACTTTTCACGGCATTAACAGAGAAAATACGTCAAAGATAGGCAAATGACCAGAGCGCTCCCTCGCTCCCATTTGCGCACATACAATACAAAGATCGCTTGTGATAACGATGTCTCACTCTGAGCAAATTTCGAACCCAGACATTTGAACAGTTTTTTAGCATGAATTACTTATAATATTTCTTAACTTTGAACTTATTTATCACTTTGCTTATGTAACTTAATCAGACTATGCACTAACTACTGACTTTTGACCAAAAGGCATAACAAGCATCCTATCTCAAACTTCCCCGGGCCGAAGCGACACGCAGCTAACTTGGATGTGCTTCCCTTTTCCATTAATAAACGTGCTCCTACCGATGCAGAGGGCTCTGAATATTTTCCTTAGCCCATTTCAAATCCTCTGACAATTCACACTTGCCCTTCCTGCAGGGAAAGTAAGAAGCACTCAACAGACACACAAAGAATTTCCTCAAGCTGTCACGGCAAGACATCAAAGTTTGGCGCCCAAAACCTCCTATTAAACACAATCAATCATGTAACTTTGCATCTGTTTAAAGTAAGTTTGTATTCAGACGCGTGGAAAATGAGCCGATGAAAGCTACTGCGAGGTAGCTGACTGCGCCGTTTCCTTAGCAGCAGGAAAGCCTTGGTGATTTGATTCCCCCGGGGCCATCTATTCATCGTTTCTCTCCGATATCTGTTCCTTCGTTGCAGTTTCAGCTGCTGGCAGATCGATCGTCGTCTCAGAGGAGACGGAGAAGTCCATGAAGGTGACGTGGCAGCCGGCACCTGGAAACGTCGTCAACTACCGCGTCACTTACAAGCCACAGGCAGGAGGGCGCCAGCTGGCGGCCAAAGTGCCCGGTGGCACTACCACCACTGTGTTGAGACGCCTTACCCCTCTCACCACTTATGACATCACCGTGGTGCCAGTTTATCGGTCCGGAGAGGGCAAAACAAGGCAAGGGGAAGGAACTACATGTAGGTTGGCCCGTTGTTCACCACACATCATGACACTGTAAATCCAGGCGATTATAAAGTCATTAAAGACCCTCCACATCTGCCCCCATCAGTCTGTGTATTCCTTCCCCTCCAGTAACACCTTACAAAGGCCCGAGGAACCTCCAGACTTCAGAGCCCACCAAGACCAGTTTCCGTGTAACCTGGGACCACGCTCCCGGTGACGTTAGGGGCTACAAAGTCACTTACCACCCTGTCGAGGATGACATCGACCTGGGGCAACTTCTGGTTGGTCCCTATGATAACACCGTGGTGCTGGAAGAACTCAGGTTTGTCCCACTTTTTAGTGTTTTTACGGTTTATTATCAGACTCGTTTGGACTTTGGACAATGTTCTCCTGCATATTTTGTAATGAAAGTTGTTTTTTGGGTTGACAGAGCTGGTACCAAATACACAGTGAGTGTGTTCGGTATGTTTGAAGGAGGGGAGAGCATGCCGTTGGCTGGAGAGGAGTACACCACCTACTCTGATGCACCTGATCCTCCAAATTTTGACACGCCAAGTAATATTACCCACATATATGTGATGTACATTGCACACGGTCATTGTAAGAATAAGAGGAGGCGCAGAGCACGTTCTATGCAGAAACTGTCTCGGGCGAAGCAAATGAAATAGTCTTAGTCATTCTGTTACTGTATCTGTCGTCCTGTTTAAGTCAGCGTCTCCAGTATGTTTTGTTTCTCTGTCAAACATCGGCGAGTGTGTCACATATTACATTTTTGTTTGGGGGAAAAACCCCTCTGTAAATCCAAACCACATAAAAGCCGAATACCTTTCTTTAAAGCGAATTGTACAGATGTAATGGCAACTCCATCTGCCTGCCCTTTCCCTGCTTTCTTCGCCGTGTCACTTTGGGCTTCCGCTTTTTATTTCCAGTCCGGCCAGCGGAGATATGAGCCGTGCGTGTATAATCTGTTTGCACTTATAAAACGTTTTACTATCCGGTGAGTCAGAGCGTGGCAGGCAGCAAGTGTGAGGCGAGGAAAGAAGTTGTGTTTGCTGCGAGGAAAGGTCAGCGCGATCAGTTAGCTGCAAGCCCTTTCCTAAAAAGGAGGCAGATGTAGACTCGGTGAGGTGACATAATCAGCGTTTCGAGTAAATGTAAGTGTCTGCACATTAAAGGCACTTAATCCTGGATCTTTATTGTTACAAACTATTTCAAATGACATTAGACAATCATATTTTACCTCCACATACCACTTCTTGGGCTTTTTGCCCACAGATTGGAGATGTTGTGTGTACTTGTAATGTGTAAAATCATGTAACCTGTTTTCAGTTGCAGGCTGCAGCAGTTAGTGCGACATCTGCAGCTCTCTTTTAGGCACAGAGGATCGGATGACTTCCTTTTCATCACACAGGTGTTTGGAAAACAGGATGTGAATGTTTCCTCGCTGCTCTGCAGGGCACAATAATCTCCTCAGCGGAGGCCTTTAATATAAAGGGCACATTCTCCTGGGAGTACCCCGTGGATGTGAAAGAATTACTGCCTCCACATGCTGCCGAGTGAAGAAGATCATAATTATACCACCTGGAAAATAATTGTTATCCACCGAGGGATGGAAGAAAGAGCAGAATTATTTGTTGCGTGCATGTGGAGATTGTTTGTTAAGCTTTCAGGAAATTGTTTGGATTTTTGTGGAAATTTATTGCCGTCAGCTCTTCTTTCCTCCCTTCTTTTCTTCTCACACGTCCTTAAAAGCTCTTCCACCATTACACTTGAGCATTTTTGATTATATTTGAACCTCATGTGACACGTGAACCTCTGCCCCGTCAGATACGATGTGTAGGACCAATGCTCAGGCTGACATTGTGCTTCTGGTGGACGGCTCCTGGAGTATCGGACGCCTGAACTTCAAGACTATTCGTGCCTTCATTGCACGCATGGTGGGCGTCTTTGACATCGGCCCTGATCGGGTCCAAATCGGTGCGTTGAATCAAAATAAGAATGATAAAGTATGTATTTGCTAACACAGCAACAAAGGTTTTCTTTGAGGTGCTCTAACTAAGATTTGGCTTCTTTAGGGCTCGCTCAGTACAGCGGAGACCCAAAGACCGAATGGCACTTGAATGCTCACCGAACCCGAGAGTCTCTCCTGGATGCTGTGTCCAACCTGCCCTACAAGGGAGGAAACACCCTGACAGGTGATTCTCTTCGTTTCTGACCGTTTTGCTTTAATAGACGTAAACGAGCATTTCGCATTACTCTGTGTCTTCTTCGTGGCAGGTCTGGCTTTGAACTACATCCTCCAGAACAATTTCAAAGAGGACGTCGGGATGCGTCCCAGCGCTCGAAAGATTGGCGTCTTGATCACTGACGGAAAATCGCAGGATGACGTCATTGCCCACTCTCAAAACTTGCGCAATCAGGGCATTGAGCTCTATGCCATCGGTAAGCAAAGACTAGTGCAGTTAATTTGTGCTTTTCCTGCCTCTAAAAAGCTGCTGCTGACCCTCGACCCTTGTGTCATTGTTATTTAGGTATTAAGAATGCAGACGAGAACGAGCTGAGGTCCATCGCCTCTGATCCGAATGAAATTCACATGTACAACGTGGCCGATTTCTCCTTCCTGCTGGACATTGTGGACCGAGTTTCTGACAACCTGTGTAACAGTGTCAAAGGGCCAGGTGTGTGAAGTCCCAGGTGTTTGATAAGCAGTATAATTATAGTGGACAGCATCCTCGTGAAAAAGCCACATTAGATGCAAAGAACGACCCCGTAGGACTTCTTAGTACATGAGCATCATTTACTCCCTCATACGTGGAGAAGCTATGAAGTTATGAAATGAGAAAGTTGTCCAGTTTCAGAGCTTTTCACTACATATAATTCACCTTAAATCAGTGATTTAGAGTTAATTATGCACAGCAGTTTCAAGCTTTCTATGCTTGCATCTTAACAGGAGGCGCTCCAGATGCACCCACTAATCTGGTGACATCAGAAGTGACTCACCAGTCCTTCAGAGTCACCTGGGACGGCCCCGACGACCAACCAGAAAAGTACCGTGTGGAGTACAGGACTTTATCGGGAGCCCCACAACAGGTATTTGCCAAAAACACCAAAAAACTTGCTCTGCAAGTAATTGTAGTGCAGTATGTGAGTGTTAATGCTGCCCTGATGCTACTGGGAAACAACGTCTATTTCCAGCCACCTGTTTGTGTTGGCTTCTTGCTGTTTGGGTGTCTGATTACACTGCAGCTCGACACAAGGAAACAAAAACAGTCTGAAACAAATATGCAGAAGTTTGTTCTTCTGCAGCTCCCAGGGTTTGCTTGAATAGTGAACATTGTGGATGTGTTTATAGATGGTGAGGTTGACCTTTAGCCTTGTAAAAATCTACAGATTGTTTTCTGGGATTGATTGGAAATGTCTGTGAAGATATTCACAGTTCTGGTGAACTTCATCAATCCTCTGATCCTCCTGTCTGTTATCAGGTGATCGTGGACGGCAGTCGGACCACTGTGGTGCTCCAGAGGCTGAACCCTCTCACACAGTACCTGGTCAGCGTCTACTCCGTGGTGGGAGAGGAGAGCAGTGACGCTTTGGATGGAAAAGAGACCACACGTATGTCCCACCTCAGCTCACTGAAAGAGACTAAAACTCCAAACATAATGTTAACCTAACTCTGTAAACAGCGCTGCATATGACACTAGTAAAAATGAGCTAAATCGGTATGTGACGATGAACTGCAGATGTGACCGTATTTTACTGCACTTACTTAGAGAAGCATGCTCTTAAGTGGTTATCATTTAGAGTCTAACTCAAACAGACCTTTCGCGCTATTAGGAAAGCCAGATAAATGGGGCTCTGAGAGAGCTACGCTTTCAATTCGAGCAGACTCTGGTGCTCTCACGAACCCTGAGTCTTTGCTTTACGAGCAGTTGCCCTTTGAGTCAGCCGCCATCACGCAATCTCTCCGGCACGGTTGCGTAACACAAACCTAATGCAACTCAGAGACTGTAATTCGTGTGTGGTCTCCATTAATAAAATGTTTAAAGGATATATATACACATATATACGCAC